ACTCCTCAAAATCTTGAAACGTGTTGCGCCGGATCTACCTTCAGACGGTCGTTCGATTTGGGGAACATCAAGCAAACGGACACCCGTAACAACTATGGGCAGTAGTGAGCATGTTCATATAGGACTTCAGAACAGTCTCGTGAAGCAGGTAAGTCAGCCTTCAGTGCATAGTAGTGGAAACGAGATTGTTACTTATTTAGTTATAGATGGATTGCCTTTATATAGGAAGAGTAAATGTGATTTTTGGCCGATACTTGGCCGATACTAATGTAGCCTTTTGTAAGTAAGTTATTCGCAGTAGGTATCTATTGTGGGAAAGGCAAACCGTCAGATGTTCAGGCGTTTTGCAAGCCCTTGATTAGGGAACTGTCTTTCCTCTCTAGAAGTGGACTTTATGTTGAAAGTCTAGACCGCACGTTTGACTTTAAATTGGGAGGTATCATTTTCGATGCTCCTGCTAGGGCCTTCATTAAGCAAGTTAAAAATGTTAATGCTTACTATGGATGCGAGCGGTGTAAGGTGAAGGGTGTACGTCGTCCAAAATGGAAAAAGGTTGTGTACGACATTGTTAGTAATGAAAGAAGAAGTGACAAAGATTTCTATGGTCGAAAGGATGACTGCCGTCGTATTGGCAGGTCACCCTTGTAAGCAGTTAATGTAGGGATGGTTACTTGTTGTCCTTTAGACCCCCTTCATCTTGTTTAACTAGGTGTAATGCGACGGGTCTTGAAGTTGTGGCTTACAAGCCCACAAGGTACGAAATATAAGTTTTCTCCAGACGCCGCAAGCACAATAGATGAAAGGCTGAAAGCTATTAATCGTTAATTACCAAAGGAATTTAGTCAGAGAGCTAGATCTCCTAGTGAGTGTGATACTTGGAGGGGCACCGAATTGCATCAGTTCTTATTATAAGCAGGAGTGGTGGTTCTAAAAGATGTAATTAAGGGAAAGTATTGGAAGCATTTCATGCTTCTTTCTACAGCATTCCGTTGTCTCTTTCGCCCACATACTTATAAGGAGTGGATGCCGTGCACGACAGACTTGCTGGAAAGGTTTCTCGTGAAACACGAAGAACTTTATGGTCTACAGGAAATGGTGTACAATGTGCACAGCATTGTTCACCTGCCGGAGGATGCTCTACGTCACGGTCCTTTAGAAAAGTTTTCCTCCTTTCACTTTGAAAGTTACTTAGGGAAGATGAAGCGTTTGCTAGGGAAGCCAGGGCAACCGCTGCAGCAAGCTGTTCGAGGGCTGAGTGACCTAGAATATCTGCCTCATAGTTTTCCAGGTCTTTTAGAATGGATTTGTAATTTAGAACACTGGGATGGACCACCTTCACCCAGCGGTGGGTCCTTTACGCAGTTTAAGTCTGTCTCGAAGTGCAGCTTGTTTATAGGGTCGGCACCCTCCAACGGCTCGATTGCCATTGATGGTAAGTTGTTGTGCGTTAAGAACATCGTGCGCTCATCCTCTGGTGATATTCATGTGGTTTATGTTGCTTACGAGCATATTGAGGACTACTGCAGTTATCCTCAAAATTTATCGAATTTTAAAGTTTTCCAAGCTCAGATAGGAAAAACGCCGAACTGGTGTCACTTACCGTCAAATGTGCGCAAGTGCACTTCGTTTTCAGTGAAGGATCAATACGTCCTCATTGAGATTAACGAACGTTGGGACATGGTGGACCGTCCGGGGTAATGTGACTTTGGCTAGTAGGTAGGTTTGCTTGTCTAAACTTGTTTTCTTCTAAATGTTTTTTTTTATTTTGCTTA